AAATAAATTTCTCCTCTGCCTTCCAGTACAATAACACGGTAGGTAGGTAGGTAGGTGATACGATAAAATAAAAGGAAATAGTTGAATTGAATACTCAATCGATACACTTCACACAGAATGGATCATATTATGTCGGATAATCGATTCATGATCAAACAGAAAACTAGAATAACAGATAACCATCATTCCATTCCACACAATTCCAAGCAGTCTCACTTTCAATGTGTCTAGGGTGTAACAAACCATCAATAAGAGAAACAGAAACCACATATTCAATAGTCAGTAGCGGCATGTGAGTGGCTGTTTGTCCACACTCAATGACCAATCACATTTCACTTTCACAATCACCAAAGTCAATGCTAGTGAGTGACTCATTCAAACATGAGTGACATGTGAATCATTGATTTGCATCATGAATTGGTTTGTGAAGCAAACCTGACAATGAGGCTGGCTACACTATTGATCCCATCTTATAACAATAATCTAATCAATGTTTGTTTGCAAATATTTCAGTTAAATATGAATTTTTATCGGTCATAACTGATGAGCTACGACGCACACGAAAATGAAAAGCATAACTTGTGAGTCGAATAAATTTGTTTCGACCACTAAATTCTATTGTGTAATTATGAGTAGTATATTTTATGGAGATGAAATGCAAAGGGTGATTTTAATTGATGTAAGTGTACAGGAGAGCAATGTCGCGCATAATACTGGTAACAAGAGAATCCAAATCAGTACAACTGACTGAACCTCCATTCAGCGAATTGATTGTATTCGAGGCTGTCAGTATGAGGTTCACATATCAGTGTGAACATCAACAGTGAAATGTTTATACATGCATATGACCAATGACTAAGAAAATGAAATTTCCATTCTGAATTTCATTACTAGTCACAATCCTATTGACTAGTTGCGAATAATCAATGGATGATATCGACTGAATTGAGAATATATGAAATGAGAATACCAAGATACAATTCATTGAAAATCGCCCTTAGCACAAATTCATGGCTGTTAATTCAAAATGATTTCTGACCAGCTTGTATTCAATTCATGATTGCATTTGATTGTGATGATGTTGTTTGTGTAGAAATTACAAACAATGTGACACTTTTGTTGGTGACTTTGATAATTGAATTGAAAATATCACTTTTCTAACGATGAACAGTTTGTTCGATTTCATTAATTATATTGTTTGATTTCTTCTAGATGATTCTCGAAACACATCAAAGTCACTTGTTCAAATCATGATAGTGAATGTGAAATCTTTTTTACTAACTAGTTTAACAAGTGTTTTTTGATATTGTTAATAATAATGATCTAACCTTGTTTTATTTAACTTGTAATAATAGTTGGATAAATAAATTTAGTTCTGGTCAATTTTGTTTTGATATAAACAATTTACATTGGGCTCAGTCGAATTATAATGTTCGAATTCCACTACTCATTGTCATCTGTTTGAATAGTTTCAAGTGCAGACCTGATGAGCAGTACCACAGGAACTATCAACAGTTGAATATATATTGTATTCATTATTGCTATCCTTAATAAGTATTGTTAATAAGTAACCAACGGATGAACAGTGACAACATGCTTGCTATTTTGCGATATTGTGCAAACTGCACACTGAATCGATGGTGGAATTGTTGGCTAGAGTGAAGAATGTAGTTACGTGACGAACTATCTGAGAATATCCGAACGAAAGTGATCATTGCTTAACTGTAACAGGAAGTTCCGGTCTCTCATGAGAATACCTCATCAGAGAATGTAGATGACATGGAACTTTATATTAAATGAATTATCGAAAATCCCATATTGGATACTGTTGATATTGTATAGCAGCTAAAACAACCTTAATGTATGTAGTGATCCCTGAAACTGCTGTCACGAACGGCAATGAAGTCTTCTCTAATATATCATCTAGCTCAGTATCACAATTGAGATAGGTAATCTGCTGGAGGCAACGAATGAGTGTGGCGCAACATCATGGACTGATTGAAGTTGGAGGTTAACACCATTAGATGTTGACTCAGTGGTCTAGAGGTTAAGTGTTCGCGCTCAGAACCAAAGCTTCCGCGGTCATTTCCCATGTGTGACGATCGTCGATGATCACTGCTGAAGAGTTTCATAAGAGGACGAGACTGTAATCCAATGTTTCCAGGACATTACGTTTTCACTGGAGTCATATACTACTTATAAGTAGCGCGCACTACACTACTACTATTACTGCAACTACAACAACAACAACAACAACATCTACAACTACTACTACTACTACTACTACTACTACTACTACTACTACTACTACTACTACTACTACTACTACTACCCACACTACTACTACTACTACTACTACTACTACTACTACTGCTACTGCTACTACTACTACTACTACTACTACTACTACTACTACCCACACTACTACTACTACTACTACTACTACTACTACTACCAACACTACTACTACTACCCACACTACTACTACTACTACTACTACTACTACTACTACTACTACTGCTACTGCTACTACTACTACTACTACTACCCACACTACTACTACTACTACTACTACTACTACTACCAACACTACTACTACTACCCACACTACTACTACTACTACTGCTACTGCTACTACTACTACTACTACTACTACTACTACTACTACTACTACTACTACTACTACTACTACTACTACTACTACTAATACTACTACTACTACTACTACTACCCACACTACTACTACTACTACTACCCACACTACTACTACTACTACTACTACTACTACCCACACTACTACTACTACTACTACTACTACTACTACTACTACTACTACTGCTACTGCTACTACTACTACTACTGCTACTGCTACTACTACTACTACTACTACTACTACTACTACTACTACTACTACTACTACCCACACTACTACTACTACTACTACTACTACTACTACTGCTACTGCTACTACTACTACTACTACTACCACTACTACTACTACTACTACTACTACTACTGCTACTGCTACTACTACTACTACTACTACTACTACTACCCACACTACTACTACTACTACTACTACCCACACTACTACTACTACTACTACTACTACTACTACTACTACTGCTACTGCTACTACTACTACTACTACTACCCACACTACTACTACTACTACTACTACTACTACTACTGTTGTGCCGTGTTGCGAACTACTTATAAGTAGTATATAGCGTGAGTGTCAACGTAAAGTCTGGTAGCATAATATGGGGGAAGATCAAGAAAGGAAGATTCAGAAAACAATGGAATTTGTATGAAACGCATGAAGAGTGACAATGGATTGATGTTTGGCAACAGGAACAGTCCAGTTCCATAGGATGAACTGATCTTTTGCAAATGAACGATTTACGATATGGTTTTCCGATTTTACTGAGTAACTCTGTAATTTTCGTTAAATACAATTCGGTTGCCCCCACCTGTGTTCTCATTCACTACATTTGGTGTCGCTGCCTGCTCGAAGGAAGGGGCTCCCGTGGCCGAAGGAGTTGCAGGACGGAGATTGGCGGAGCTTCCTGGAGGAGTTTGGGGCCACGGTGGAGCTGGTGGGGGCCTGGGGCGGAGTTGACGGTGCTGGGGACGCTGCGGGGAGGTGAGGCGAAGGCGGTACACGACAGCCTGGACGGTGCCACCGAGGAGACGGCGTGGGAGACGGTCACCGGGCGGCTGATAATGGAGTTCGACAGCCCAGCGGACAGGGAGGAGGCGCCGCAGAGGTTCCGGTTGGCGCGGCTGTCGGCCGATGGTGACCTGTTGGTGCTTGCTGTGGAGCTCACCGGATTGCGCCGTGAGGAGTGGGCGGGGCACAGTCTTTGGCGTCGCAATTTATCGAGTGTGTGCCTGCCGCCGTGTTCCAGCATCGGGAACTTGTAAACGCTACACGTTGGATAGATGCCGTATCCATTCCAGACCAGTGATCAAGAACGATGACCGAAGTGGTAATCCGGCATATTGTAGCGTGTCACGGAATACGGAAGGTGATATTAACTGACCAGGGGCTCTGTTTTGAAGGACTACGACGACAGCTTATTAAAAGGGGGGACGAGTGTGGTGCTGTGGTGCGAACTACTTATAAGTAGTATATAGCGTGAGTGTCAACGTAAAGTCTGGTAGCATAATATGGGGGGAAGATCAAGAAAGGAAGAGTCAGAAAACAATGGAATTTGTATGAAACGCATGAAGAGTGACAATGGATTGATGTTTGGCAACAGGAACAGTCCAGTTCCATAGGATGAACTGATCTTTTGCAAATGAACGATTTACGATATGGTTTTCCGATTTTACTGAGTAACTCTGTAATTTTCGTTAAATACAATTCGGTTGCCCCCACCTGTGTCCTCATTCACTACATTTGGTGTCGCTGCCTGCTCGAAGGAAGGGGCTCCCGTGGCCGAAGGAGTTGCAGGACGGAGATTGGCGGAGCTTCCTGGAGGAGTTTGGGGCCACGGTGGAGCTGGTGGGGGCCTGGGGCGGAGTTGACGGTGCTGGGGACGCTGCGGGGAGGTGAGGCGAAGGCGGTACACGACAGCCTGGACGGTGCCACCGAGGAGACGGCGTGGGAGACGGTCACCGGGCGGCTGATAATGGAGTTCGACAGCCCAGCGGACAGGGAGGAGGCGCCGCAGAGGTTCCGGTTGGCGCGGCTGTCGGCCGATGGTGACCTGTTGGTGCTTGCTGTGGAGCTCACCGGATTGCGCCGTGAGGAGTGGACGGGGCACAGTCTTTGGCGTCACAATTTATCGAGTGTGTGCCTGCCGCCGTGTTCCAGCATCGGGAACTTGTGGACGCTACACG